TTTGCATCTAAGTCCTACGTTTTTGATAGGCATAAAATTTTTGTCTTGATATTCATTGTTATATCTATACATAGGTGTCTAGTTGCCGAAATTTTAGGAATTCTTTATGTAGAATACATTAGGTAGCATAGTTACTTTACGGAATTTATAAAAAAAAAACTAGCAATATCGAAATGTTTGTCAAAATTACTTTTTTAAAAAAATAATTTAGACGCCTATGTATACTTATATAACGTGCAAACCACCAATAAATTCTAATTTTTAACAATTGAAAAACCTCCAATTGCTATTATTTTCTTTAAACAACGTTATGTAATGAACATTTGGCATGAGCACTTTTTTAAAACAATATTCGGGTGACTGTTTAAAAAAAAATAATTTTGCACACGAAAACATTTCTTTTAAAATAACGTCTGTAGAATTTTCTTTAAAAAAGCATTATTCGCATAATAACGCTATATTAAAAATGTTTATTAACTGTCCTTGGCGTCACCAATCTAAAAACTTTCACTGTTAGATTAGGTTTTTCTTTAAATAGGTTAGAAAAGCTTTAGTAATACCAAAATTTCGTAAGGAAAACTTTTTATTAGTCTCAGAAGGTGATTTCATATTATTTTCGCTCGGATTTCATTTCAAATTACAACATAATCAATTCAATTTGCACAGCTCAAATGCTTAAGTTACATATGAAGAAAACTATGGGAAATGGTGCTGCCGCCGTCTATTTCGGTCCTTTAACACCTTAACCTATTTCAATTTCTTTAGACAAATCATGGGATGTACAGTACATAGATTTCATTTACTTCTTAGAACAGTGTGGGGTTTGCACAGCTGTTTCGCTTCCACTTCTCAAGAACAGTGTGGGGTTTCCACAGCTGTTTCGCATCTACTTTCCAAGAACAGTGTGGGGTTTTCACAGCTGTTTCAGTCTACTTCACCAGGACAGTGTGGGGTTTACACAGCTGCCTTATTTCTTTAGTGTGATCTCGTGATTTTACAGTGTTGAATAGCATCGATATGTTGCTTCCTGCTGAGTAGTCACCTAAATTTCTTTCTTTCGGGGAGAGGTGGGCGGGAAGAACCTTTCGATTAACCAGAAAATAGGGTTTCGAGCAACTACTAAAGCAGCAAAAGAAAAGCACAACTTCCCTCTTTGCATTCGTGGCTTACTTATACTTATCATTAGACTCGCAAGATCAGTGACCTCATCATCATGCAAAAAAAAAAAAATAAAAAAAAATCATTCGACCATGACTTCATTTGGGCGTCACTAGGTCCATGATCATGAGGTCAGGTGATCCTCGCGATAATATCCCTCCTGTGCCTTCGTCACAGTCGGTCTAAGATAAAATGTTGAGTTATGAGCGATTTTTTGTTTTGGTTTGATTTTTTGCGCTACACCTGATCTTGGAATCTAATAGGCCAATGAAATTTTTTGGTTTAGGCCGCACCAAAATTGTCACGGTAGATTCTAATTAAGAGCAATTATCAAAAATTTAGGCAGAAGTTACTTAAAATTTTACTACTGAAACCACCGCAGCCCATTAATTGAAAAAATGTTCCCGCGCCAATTTTACCATTGTTTTTCTAAAAATTTCCATTTTCGGAATGAAAAGGTTAAAAAGCTAATTTCGGCCAAAAAATTATGTAAACAATTATGTAATGCGGGCCAAAGTTTTGTAGATCACGGCCGTTACCAATCAAAATAGAGAATCTGTCTGACAAAATCGGTGCGCAGCTAGGTCTTTTATCAAAATTGTAAATTCTACCTCTTTACAACAATCTTGGAATCCACATGAATCCAATTTTTTTTTCTTAAATCATTCTCTAAAATTACCAATATAATTGGCTGAAAATTATGTGCAGCATATCAGAATCATTTCCATATTGGACTTTCTCCTTTAGTGATGGCTTAACCCTTTTATTGCCTAAAAAAAGAGAACGTACAGAAGAATATTTTTGGAAGAAACTGGTAGAACAAGCCCTCAAGAAGAAGA